TGAATATATTATAAAAAAACCAAAACAGTGAATGTCTTTTTTAGAATTATAGACAGAGTGCCAGGATTTCACCTGCAGTAAATTGTCATGGCTCCATTGACTTTAGGCACTATTCATTTAATTTCCACCAAACCAATACTTATGCTTTGCTGAGCAGGAGTGGGTTTGTTCATTTGCTGAAAGTTAAGTGGGTGCTTAAGTTCTATCCTGAACTGAGGTCCTAATCAGGACATTGAAATGTCATGTATGATCTCGGTGTCCAGCCAAAATAGCTTGATTTGTGAGTATTCACAACAGGAGAGCATGTGTGAATGGCCACAGACTAAAGCTCAGAGTCTGCTAGTACATGTGTATGAGTGCACTTAATATACTTGTCCAGAAAAGCACTGCACATGAGCTTAAATGGGAGTTGGTTGCATGATTTGAGGAAATAAATGCTCCTTTACCATGATTTTATTTACAGTAAAAGTTCTGTTATCTGGCATCTTACAAGCTGGCATGTCCACTAACCGGCACCCCGGCTTATAAGATAAAGTGAAACCAGAAGTGCCCACCGTGGCACTTCCGGTTTCTCCAAGCCCCCATTGCTCAGGGCAAAGCAGCCTGCGCTGCTGAGCCCCCATGGCCTGGGGACGTAACAGGCTGTGCGGGACGTGCCGCCCTGAGCCGTGGGGCCCACAGGGCCCCACAGGAGCAGTGGTGATGCCCCGGGAGGGGCGGCGATGCTGTGGGAGGGGCAGAGAGACGCCTCAGATGTGGAGTGAGAAGCGATGGCTACGGCCGCTCAAGTAACTGGCATTTTTTGTTATCCGGCATCCTCTGTTCCTGGAGGATGTCGGATAACAGAGCTTTTACTGTATTTGTTTTTAAAAATCACACAAGTATAAAGGAATGGTTTGAATCTATCAGTTTTCAGGTCTAGCAAATGTCAGGGGTCTGGGTTGGGGGGAGATCCCCAGCTGGTGTAAGCTATTGTCTGACTTCAGTGATGCTACACTAATCTATACAAAATGTGGATTTGTCCCAAGGTGTTTCAGCCCTGCTACTTAGGTGCTTAAGTCATCCCCTACCATGAATTTTAAATTTAGTGTTAGCTCTTTACCATGGGTGTGTGAAGTGGGCCCTATTTGATTCAGATTCAGATTCGGCCTGAACCAGGGACTGTGATTCGATTCGTTGATTTGGATTACTGTCCCTGATTTGATTCAGCCAGATCTGAAGATTTGATGCTGATTCAGAGAGTCACCGATTCGGACACAGATGCAGCTTTAGAAGTGGATGCTGCGATCAGCCACAGGAGGACCTGGGGTGCCCCTTAAGACCTAGGAGACACCAGTCGCCAAGCCAGGGTACAGGCATGAGGGGGCCCCCCTGCACACTCCCTGGCGGATGCAGAAGTGGATCAGCAGTGCTACTGGACCACTTCCGGGTCTGCTGCTGAGCACACTGGGACCCCTCCATGCTCCTGTGAGATGCTTCATGAGCCCCAGCATTGCAACGTTTATGAGCCGCTTGCTACCTGGAGGTATGTAGAAAAAACATTTAAAACTGTCTATGTCTGAATTGCCGACTCTTTCCAAATCTCTCCGAATTGATTCGGATGGTTCCGATTCGATTTGGAGAGATTAAAGTGTCCTTTGATTCGATTCAGATTTGGATATTTCACCACCGAATTGGGCCAAATCTCCACCAGATTGAATCAGGGACAGAAACTTAGCACAGCCCTACTCTTTACCCACCCTCAGATAGTTCAGTAACAATTGGGAACAACTTTATAGCTGTAGCAGTGTGTGAGAATTTCTGTTCTTCTTGCATGGCTGTTTCATATTTTCTTGCCTTAGTCCCAGAAATTCCCCTTGATTTACATGTTGAACTCATGCTTCCTTTTTTTTTTTTTTTTTTGAATAATTACATCATCTTACCACTGGATTAAGGCATGTTTGGTGCTATTGGCACTATTCCTCTTGGAAAGAACATTGTCTGACTTCTAGTGTCCTTATTCACCCTGAACTCTCAGAAAGTAGTGGGAGTGGTAGATAAGTGATGGGAAATCTAGCTATGAAAAAATGGTGGAATAAATACCAGGTTTTTACTATGCTAGCATATAACATACAGAACATAGAACAGTCACAGCCAGCCACAGTATAGCTTAGACGATTTAAGGTCTTGTTCCACTTCTCACTTCGGCATGCAGGATCAAACATGTCTCAAGCTTTCATTCAAATAAATCAATAGGAACTGCGCATCTGCATATGTAAAAAGTCATCACTAGACAGTTGAACCTTCCTCTTCAATTCAAAAGCACAGGTCTTTCCCACTAATGCTCAAGAATGAAGTCTGTTTAGTAGAAGCAGTACTGGAATAGGATCCTGTTCAAACTTGAATGACTAAAGAAAAGAGGGTAGATGTGCAGAGATTCGCAAATTAATTGCATAATCACCTTTTGAAACATGTTCTAATTTTTCATTGAGGATTTTTCCACATTCTAAACACTGACTAATGGAAATGGTCAAACTTTCTGATGTGATACACAAGATAATTTAAGGCTTTTTTTGGTTAGTGAATCTATTTTTAGAGTAATTTTGATGTGCTAGTTAGATATAATCACAATATTACCACTTCCCAATGTTCAAAACTTGTGAATACAGTCCAAAGAATCACAAGTTTTTTAGAGAAGCACTTAGGGTCCTCTTAATCCAAGACTGACTTTTAATTCATTTTCTAGCTTAGCTATAAGGGTTAGAAATGTTTTCTAAATGGAACCTGAGATTCTAACCAAATCTCTTACTTGAAGCAGCTGGGGCTTTAAGGCCAAATATTGTATGATTCACAATGCCGTTTGACAACACTGTATTTAAAACTATAAGCCTTTGGAATAGAGGAAAAAACACTCATTGCTGAGATGAGACACATTTTAGACAGTAACCTAATTTCCAATTTAAGCCTTCAAAATCCAGCATATGAAAGTGGTGCTTCAGACTTACTGCGTTCTCTCTGGACAAGAGTAAGTTTCTGTTTTTCTGAATTATTTAGGTAAATACTTTTGAAATGTTGGGCTTCTAATAAACTGTTTGATTAGTAACTACTCCATATTATAGAGGTGATCACCAATGTATAGTCCTTATTTTCTGGCCTGTTGATATACTTCAGTCATTATAGCAAAGAATATATCCTGTGCAGTAATTCATGCTAAACTTGATGAAATGTTTGATATTTACAGTCTGAGGATTTCAGAATAACAAAACATGATCCCATGAATTATAGTGAATCAAATATAAATGTTTTATTCTTGGAAAAAGTAACAAAATAGTTTTTAAAAACTGTTCAACAAACTATAAATTATATTATCCTGAAGGCATTAAAGCTACCTTAAAAGAAATAACTAAATATGATGTTCTAAAGTCCAATTTTGTATCATGTTGCCATTGTTAACATTAATTTTCTACATAAACATTGAAGACATACCAGTTGTATGCATGCACTCTTTATAAATACACAATGTGCACTTTCAGAGGGTTTCTTGATGTTTTAATATAAAACTTTAAGAAAAATGAAAGTATACATTTTGATTAGCATAAACATGACAGAAACTGGAATGGTAGCTTAATTTCCAAGTCTGAAAGAATAAATATAATATGGTCTATAACTTGCTTATTATGTAATGTCTTTCATGATTTTCCCCAAGTACTTTGTGGTAATGAGTCACAAATTAATGAGTTTGAAACTGACACTTGCCAAAACTAGCTGCCATGCTTCACTCAGCAGTAACTCACATATCACCATAGGGGAGTAAGTAGTGTCAAGATCTTCAGAAGAACCTAGCTTTTTGGATGCTTAGCACCTTTGATAATCTTGGTGACAGGCATCACTGTGGACACTGCTGGATGTTGTGTGCATAAAAGGTGGCCTTAGTTGCCTACCCAGGACCTCAGCTTTTCTGATTGAGTATCATGAAGTAGCTGGCCTAAGGGACTCAGTCCTGCTACAGTGGTTTGGGTTCCTTCACCTGCTGTTGAAGGCAGTGAGAGCTGAGGATAATTAGCACCAAGGCCTTGCAAGAGTGAGCTCATGATGTATTTAAATGTAAACTGAGATACTGGTACTGGGACTATCTGCTTCTTTTGGAAAAAGTGCAAACCAGGATAGCAACTGAGGGCCAATGAAACAGACTGGTCAAACATTTTAGCTTAGCTTAGCTTATTGGTTAGTGTCCATCATTTTAGGAGACAATAATGATGGCTCTGCAGCTTTCAAAATTTAATTTGTGGAGAATGCCCTGCCCTAGTGGGTGAATTCCATGGAATAACATGTATTCATGGAATCAAAGGCCTTCCCTTCCTTCAAGGTAGTTTTGATATTAAGGACTATACATAAATACTGCTTAGTTCTGTACTTAGCCCTCTTTAGAAAATGAATTTCTAAAACTTTAGCTTTCAGACAAAGGCTAAGATGATGGTGTTATACAAAGGTAGATGATGAATGCTTTTTCACAGACTTGAGCAGAGTGGAACAGGATCACACTTGGGTGCTAAAGACTACTTAGATGCATGATAGGTCGGATAGGATCTTGCTTAGAGTTTATTGGTCTCGGTGACCCGCTCAGCCCTATTATACTGAGACTGTCAATCATCAGATCAAAAATAATCTAAGAATGTTACACTAAGGAGTGGAATAACTTGATATCAACTTTCTGTCAAAGAGAATTTCAAGGCAAACCCCTTCTTTATAATGAGCTATAATAGGTAGAGCCCTTTTCTCCCCAGCACCACCTGGGGTGACGAGGAACAATGGTCATAAGCTGAGGGAGAACAGGTTTAGGTTAGAGATCAGAAGGCAATATTTTACAGTTAGGGTGGCCAAAACCTGGAACCAACTTCCCAGGGAAGTGGTCCTTGCCCCTAGGGTAAATTCAAGAGGAGGTTGGATGATCACCTGTCTGGGGTCTTGCGAACCCAGCTTTCATTCCTGCCTGTGGCAGGGGGTCAGGGAAGATGATCTGTTCAGGTCCCTCCTGACCCTAGCGACTATGAAACTATAATGGAGGTGGGGAGGAAAGCCTGCCCACCTTCATCAACCTTATTTGAAACTGTGTTGAAATAATGAACATTTTAAAAATCCTAAATAATCCTAATGGGGTTAGCCTTTCTAATCTCAACTGCCTCTCCATCAGCATCTGCATTAACATAAATAGTAATTAGAAACAAACTTGACCAGGAAATAAGAAGAAAATCTAACAAATGTTGCCATTACATTGAAATGATCTGAAATCTATTGTGTGAGATAAATCTGAACTAAGAATACCTAGAAGAACAAGGCTTTGTTGCCTTCATATAGATATGTGATCATCTTCTGGTTAAAACTGCATATGGGAATTTTGTGTAGTCACCCAAAACAGAGTATTTGGAAAACACCCTGTTTCTAGCATCCAATGTACATGAAAGCAATGTATATTAAAGCTAGCTATGATTAAAGCAAACATTTTTCACTTGAGCAACTGACCTAACAGGTGATTTACATTAATAAGCAGGTTTACATTTGTTCACATGGACAAATCTAGGATTTTGAAAAGGAGGAGGGGGTGCAGATGTCATGGTACATTATCACATATAACACAACACACATTTTTTCTACAATTAAAGAGAAACTCAAATTTTTACCAATACGGGGCTAGCACTATTTTATTCGGTTTAAGATCAAAGTAAAAAACAAATATAACTATTGGAATGTGCCCAACTTTGCTAACTAGGCAAAAAATAATTAAAGGATATTGTATCATTAGTCCTGTAGTCATTATAGGTGAATATACATCTCTTATTCAGATCCATAAAACAAAACCTAGCCTTCTTGATCATCTTGACAGTGCCCCCGATACCTCCCTATCATTCATTTCTATACCTAAGTTAATATTACCATGTCTGAGTTTAGGTTTTTGCAGGACTGTGAAATACAAGACAGACATTACCAGGAATGGCTAACAAAGAGCAAAATTGCAGAAGAAAAGATAATTTGAAGAGTGAAATATCAAGACCATTAACATCTGTGTAGGGGGGAGAGATTAACAGGAAAAGGGAGATGATAATGAGCCATGAAGTCAATTGACTCTCTCAGCACTGTCTGAATAGAAATGCCACTACCCTTCTCAGGTAGTTGGTTTTGAAGTTTGGATGGAGCAGGAATTTTCTTAACACACAACCCTTCCCCCACCAAGAAAACACCCCCCGCAAGAAACCACTGTTTCCTCTGCCTGTAAGTGGAATAAGTGAAACAGAAAAAAAATCTGTTTGTATCTTTCCTGCCCAGTCTTTTAATTCTGATTTAAGAAAGAGTCTAATTTTTCCAAAAAGACAGATCAAGAAGTCTGACTTCTATTTATCCACCTTTTGTCTGGTAACACAATGATAAATATTCCCCCTGGGATATTGTAGCTTTATATTTTCCAATTTCTTTGGAATGAGTTAACACTTGTTGAGTTCCTTTGCCTTGGTGGAATGTTTTTGCTTTCAGCTGCACATTAAAATGGTATTATTCACACATGGTACATTAAAAATGTTATTTTTCTGAAACACCATCTATATTTCACATGTATTAGTCAGTGCAACTGGACTGAACAGATGTTTCAATAGCCAGAGGTGGCTAAGAATTAGTCACATATCATTATCTTGTATTTTTATTATAATAATGTGAAAATGCTACACAAAGACTATGTTACTGCGAAAGAAGCACAACAGTATTCTAGTATAAGACAATACATAGTAACTTATATGAAAATACACTTCTATAGCAAAATGCTATACTTGTTGCTAACACCCAGATTTGGGCAAACATTCTTGACATTCAGAGTCTGATTCTTTTAAAGAATGACATTTTTTTCATTTCACATTTGAAATGATGGGCCACCCAGGATATTTGTAAACCACAGCATGTCGTGCATTGGAGGTTGACACTGTCCAAGTAAAAAATCATATTTCTTTAAAGTTTGTCCAAATTTGTTTTGTTAATAACACTTTAGGGAATGACATGTTAATGCCTTAATCAGGCAACTTGACCTGTGCAAATAATTTTTGCACCTGTTCAGTTTCCCTTTATAACTAGGCATCTCCCAACAGAATTGTATTTCAGGTTCACAATCTAAAGCATATTAAACACAAAATTATCTTTTCCATTTGTGAAGATGACTTCCTTTATGCATTTCATTTGCTCATCATTTCACTTTATGCTTATAGATCCTGATTGTGCAAACACTTATACTTGGACCAAGGTTTGAATCATCTCAGTATCAGTAGGGCTACTTCTGTAGTCCATTAGCATCAGTAGGACTGCTCACATTCCCAAAACCAAGTATGCACAAGTATTTATTGGACTGAGGCACAGTCAGTTTCACTTACTACTGATAAAGTAAAATATTTTAGTTTGTGTTAAAAAAATGCCGTTTTGGAGAGGAAGATGAGTGTGATACTGATGAATATGACTCAAATTCAGGAGACTGGTTTGCACAGGGTAGGGTTGCAGTGTTTCAAGCCCTTGCTTCAGAAAAAAGAACAACAAAACAACTTTTTTTCTTTACAGCCAAAACTGAGTAAAGGGAGGGGGAGGGGGGGTTGTTTTTGTTTTTAAAATCAAAACCTTGATAACAAGACAAACCTAAGGGCCAGGTACAGACATTGCACATTTACTGGTCTAAATGATCAGAAACCGGTTTATATCCATAACAGAAGTTCAGCACACACAGACTGGTTTAAAAGTGTCAGAACCCAGTCTAAGATTTGCCGCCCCTGGCCCCTACCAAAGGGCAAACGTGTCTTCTGTTAGTTACCGATGTAAACTACGCCACTTACAGAAAACTGTGTAACTTAGATTGATTCTGTCTCAGACTTTTTGAATGTCTGTACCTAGCCAAGTTTGGACTGGACTTAAAAATTTAGTTAGCTAAACAAAAACAAGAGATTTGTCTTGGGACAAGGTTAGAAACAAATTTAGTTTCAGATTTGTTCAAGACAACCTCCTTTACATAGATATTTTCTATTTTGCAGCATATTTGAACAAACAAATATTCACATGGTTTTAGTTTAATTGTCTTATTAATTAGAAACATGCACATGCATTTGGGTTTCCAGAAATGTTGGGATTTTTAAAACTAAGAAGTATTTCTACTGCATTTGAAAACTTTCTGAGAAAACATTCTGTATAGTTTTGGGGGAAAAATAGTTTTGGGGGAAAAATAATCTAAAGTTTGGTTTTGAATTACTTGACAGTCTCAACGTTTCAATCAACTCTTTATCATTAATTACATGCTTTATCATTAATTACAAACATTTGTTTGGCATGGTTGCTTTCTCAGCTACATTGGTTCTGCTTTCATTTAACTCTATTGACTTCACCGGATTTATGCCAAATAGAGGCCAGTATAAGTGAGCTCAGAACCTGTTTCTCTTTATATATACTATTATAAGATCACCCTCCACAGACAACAAAGGAAGTTTTCACTAGTGACTGTGTGTGGGTTAATAGGTCTGCACCACTCTAAAACAAGTGACCCAAGAAAAAATGCTTGCATATATAAAATGTGACAGCATAAATATATGCACGTGTCAAATAACACATCTAAAGCAATTATAATGAAAATAATGTTGCATATAAAAGATTATACTAAGTAAGACTATGATTATAGACTCTTGAAAAGTAAACATTTGTTTGTGCTGTGGCTAATTGGATAAAAGGGACTGACAACTAATTTGGGGTTGCAGCAGGCAATATTTTTAGCTGTGAAATGTATGATGAATATGCAGTGGCTAGAAATTGTCTCATGAGATAAAAGACTTATTATTGCTCTAGGGCTTCTTAAGACATGAGCAGAATATACATATCCCATAGGACTCTGCTCTTTATGATGTGCCAAGTACTGCGTGTAACACTTCTTTTCCCTAAACTTGTTTTACCCTGATTTAGTGCACCAGGCATAAAGTCATGAGGACTTAGAGATAAAGATATGGAAATCAGGAGTAGAAATCTAATTTATTGGGACTGCATTATGATCAAAGAACAATTCCACAGCACCTCATTATAGAAAGAAAACACTGTGAATTTCTAAAACTGTTATGGGACTGCTTGAATCATGGCACTGCCCCTCCAATCCTTCTCCAATCCTAATCTGCATATATTTCATAGATGTGCTAAATTCAGCCTATGGGGAATTGCCTGTTCCCATACTAGGCCATCAAAAAGGGGGCCAGATTTTTTCATAAGAATTCAGAATAGTATATGCCAATTTTTAAATCAATTGTCTCATCATTGTTTTTCCCATTCTCTATTCGCAGGACCACTATAATTCTAAGATTTTTGGAGTTGATCTCAAAAAACACTCCTTGTTTGACCTTAAATTGAAATATTTCTGCTAGCTTTAGTTGAAATTTGCCTCTGGAAGCTATTTCTGTAATGTCCTGCAATGCAATACTTGCATGATATCTGTATCTACTTGCTTTGGGAGGAAAGTCTCTTAGATGTATGGCATTCAGAAAGCACTTTGAGTTCATACATCATGCAGGGTTACTTTCTCTGGACATATGGAAGAAAAAAATGAAAAGGGAGGAAGTTCCTCAGATAAGATAACTCAGGTTACAAACTGGGGTGCGTTTAGTAATGTTGTTTTTACTTGACTGATTTTGAAACTTAGACATTCTTAAGAATATAAAATGTAAGTCTAGTAAACTTGATTAGAGTCATCATCAGTGAATTATTTATAGTGGTTGGGGAGGGAATGCCAGGGATTTTCCCTCAAAGACATTATGGTATAAAATAGTGGTTTTCAAACTTCCTGAAGACACATAACCCTTTCATATCTCTTCTTCTACTAGAGAACCTCTACCTCTATCTTAAATATTGATATGGAGCCAGGTGACCTGGCCCCACAATGCTGCTGCACTGTCTTCTGGCCCACTCCACCATTACCCCCAGTCTCTTTGTGGAAGCCATGATGACCTCTTGTGGAGCCCCAGGGATCTGTGCAACACAGGCTGAGAACCATGAGCCTAAAAAAGCCGATGGCACTGGAAATGAAGTGTTCCTGAGTAGTGTTCTTGCCCCCGTCTGCCCCTGCTACTGCCCACAGTAGCCTTGATATTGACTCTTATCTCACTCTGGCACCCAGTGGCTCTTGTTCTTTCTCTACAGTCTCAACACCCTAAAGAAAACTGGAGCTTCCTTTGCTTTGATAACCTGGTTTCAGGGGAGGTAAGACCTTCAAAGTTTAAAAAGAAAAAAATCATTTTTGTATTCAATGGGCATCTTTCCACATGCTCCAGGTGCGGAGGGGAAGGGCACTTTAATTAGAACAGTTCTCAGGAGCCACTCTAATTAAAGCACCCACAGATTCTCATGTATTCAGCACCCTGTGCTTCAAAATGGCAGCAGAGGCACTTTAACTCAAGCTTGTTCAATGTGTCAAAGTAGAACACTTCGGAGCAGGCGTCGGGCATGTGTATAGGCACCCATTATGTGACACTTCTAAGATATTATAGTTGTTCCCTTCTCCCATCTACTGTTCCCTTCCCCTCCCCCCCCCACCAAAGAAAAATCAGGAATCATTTATGTTATAGACCAGGTTGACATTCTTAGTATTTGATTTTTTTGCAGAGGTCTTTGCTCAATTTTTATGAAGGATGAGCAGAAAAAAGCCTGAGACTATATGAAAAGCTTCTTCTCATATCCCAGTTTTTCAACCAGTGCTAACATTTCTTCTTTTTTTCCTGAGAGGTTTTGCAAGAAACCATGAACATTTTCCAATAGACAATTTATAGAAAGAGATACAGCCTAGGTTGCAGATTAGTTCAGAATAGAATAGTGAACAACTTCCTGGAAGAAAAATTTAGGTGATTTTTTGTGAGAACTCCAAATGATTTTAATTTACTTCCCACAGCAATTGAGAGGGATTAATTAAACAGATAAAGAGAGAACAGTGCTTTGAAGATTTAAGTGTTATATTATTGCCAAATACTGAGCAAACATATTTATAGGGAACTACCAAATATCAACTCATCTTTTTGAGATCTTCATTGTAAAAGGACAAGGCAATGTTATACTGGAAACATTGGGGGTAGTTTAAAGTGTTTACTTAAGAAAAGGAGGTTGCTTATTGCAGTGGAATCACTTAACATAGATTTGGTTACATTAAGATAAGTATTTCCCCCTCACCTATAGACTGCCTTTTGTTTGCAGGCATCTATGAAATCCCCAGCTTTAATTTGGGAATGTTTTAATCTGTCTCCTCTGCATATATTTTAGTATAGTTTGTCACTGTATTTGGTTTAATGATAAGCTTATATTCAGCCTCTAACTTCAACCTTTTCCCACAGCGGTAAACTAAATCATGGGCTACCCTAGCCTGCTGGTAACTGAGAATACAGAAACAGAATAACACTGAGAATATAAGATGCTTTTGCACTCACTGAAGTAATTTGTGAAAACTCTCATGTCAGGAATACAGTATCAGGACCCTGAGGAGTCAAAGTCCTTCTTGGCTGTTGCCAGACACCTACAGTAAGAAAGCACCAAAGAAAGTCTTGTGTTCCTTAGTGTAATCCACCAATCGGATATCACTAACATTGACCATCAGTCTGTCTCCTTCCAGCATGTGAAACACAGCCCCTAGATAAATATGTTGGACCCACTGGTTTTCTGTATTTTCGCACAGAGTCTTGGTGCCAGTCAGCAGTTGAGTTGGCTCAGGATAGCTGTCTGTGACTTTGGTAATGATCTGAGTTACGGAAGCTGTATTAGAGGGATCTGGAATGGGCCCTCGGAAAGTGACCTGGGCGTAGATGAAATAATCTCCAGCTTCTGGTATCACCAATGATTTGTTGGTATAATTCAGGTTGTTCTTGGTAAATGCCAAGCCTCGTTTGTCTTCCCACTGAAGAACTGGAAACTGGTTTCTTTCAGCAGATTGGCTGTCCTGTTTCTTAACTGAGGAGGGGAAACAAGAGAAAGGAAAGAAAGAATCAGTTAGTTTGCTCATTTAGTTTGTGAGCATGTAAAAGATAACAGGTGCTTGAGGTTATAGACAGATGTCAATCAAACAATATGGATATAATTTTTTAAATGCAACTATCACATCTGCCTAGTTCTGTAGAACATTGCTGCAACCTTTTCATTCTCGGTTAAAGATACAACGATTTAGCACTAATTTGTAGGATCAGAACAATATAACAGTTAATCCTAGCAACTAATGTGCAGCAGCATCTCCCCTTCTCTTTGTACAGCAATTAAAAAGTACATTTGTTCATAACTTCACTTCCTCAAAAGGAAATATTTTGACCATCATGCTATCTGACCTGGCCATCAGTGGTTTACTCCGATATGTATTACAGAAGTGTCCAGAGGGCCTAACTGAAATCCATGCCTTTCAGTCTTAAACATTCGGTTCATTGCAAGAAAGGGCCCCTTGGCCAGAAGAATGTAAAAAAATGCCGAAGTGCAGGATAAACAAAAGGTGAAAGAAAAGCAAGACTGTTATTTCTCCTTGACCATTGGAGAGCAGAGGCTTGGGGAAATGGAAGGCCTGGCTTTAAAGGGTGAGTACTGATTGTGATAAGACAGCCTATTTTCAGAAGGCAAGATCCAGTACAGCATTTCAGTTTGATCACTTGTGAACAGACAGACTAAAAGTCATTAGCTGGTTTTAGAAATCCTGGCCAAAGCAAGCTACCTGAAGAAACACATTTAATATTTGATACATTACATCTTTAAGAATTTGGGAAATGTACACAGACTCCTGAGCCCTGGGCCAGAGCTTTAATGAGACTATTGTTTCTTATAGTATAGCATTGGCCCAACCTTACTCCAGTACAGATGGCTCTTCCTACAAGGCTTACTGCACCGTGGGATGTAAAATGGGTTCACCTTAGGATGTCAAATGCATTAAAAGGAGGCAAGGTATAGAGGCACCTTCTAGACTAACTAAGTCAGAGATGCATAAGATTTTGTGAACCCAAACTTACTTCATCAGTTGCTATAAAAGGATATGCACAGAACAGCTTATCAAAGAGAAAGTTATTAGTAGGGCTGCGTGAAGCTTCGGTCCCTGCTTTGATTTGGCAGCGATTCAGCCTGATTCGGTGGCTGAATCGCCAAATCTGAATTGAATCAGAGGACCCTTTAATTTCTCCAAATCAAACTGAAACCCTTCAAATCGATTCAGAGAGATTTAGTGATTCGGACATAGACACAGTTGTAAATGTTTTTCTACATACATCTAGGTAGCAGGTGGCTCGTGTATGCTGTGATGCTGGGGCACATGGAATGCCCCACAGAAGCATGGGGGACTCCCCAGCGTGCTCGGCAGCAGACCCAGAAGTGGACCAGAAGCACTTCCAGTGCACTTCCGGGTCTGCCAGGGAACATCCTAGGCCCCCGCCCCTGGCTTGGCAACTGGTGCCTCTTGGGTCTGGGGGAGCACCTGGGGTCCCCCCACAGCTGATTGCACACCCCTAGTGATTAGATATTTAATATCTGATAGGGTGATCTGTGCATAGCCAGTTCCCCCCCCCCCCCAAAGGATGAACTATTTCAACATTCTGAAAATAAAGTGTACTGACTCAAAACTAATTTTTGTTTAGAAATTTTCCTCAATTTTATAAATGGGTAGATTACTTACACTTGCTTCCCAAATGACACTTTAGTTTCAAGTTGAACAAAATACTTTATTTGATTCCAGAGTCTTGATATTAATCTAGTACCCAAATGTACCTAATGTAATAGTCAAGATTAGTCTGAAATTATGTGGAATCTGGGCAAATCATTTTCTGTATGTTTCATATAAAATATTTTTTGGCTTGACCCAGATCAACATATACATGGATAAGATTAAACTTTCTTTGGACTCAGATTTTCCTTTCAGTAAACGGATGATGTGTCCCCAACCTTGGCTTCAGAGAGGCTATACTAAATGGCTACAAGTCTGATTCAAAACCTTTCAAATTCCTCCAAAGGTAACTGCTGTGTGTGCCTGGTATATGATGAGATGCAGGAAAATTACCAATGGTTCCTGAAAAGGGTCTGTTGATTTTATTGAAAGTAATAGACTTCAGGAAGGCCAACTTCAACAAGCTCAGGAGATTAGTTAGGGAGGGACTGACAGGCAAAAGCATTGGAGAGATGGGAGTCCAGGAAGGGTGGATGTTTCTCAAGGGACTGATCCTGCAGGCACAGAAAGGGACCATCCCAGTACACATCAAGGGGGGCACAAGAGCAAAGAAACCCTCTTGGATCAGCAGGGAAATCAAGGAGAGCTTGGAGGGGAAAAGAAGCCTACGGGCTGTGGAGGCAGTGGGCAGCCACCAAGGAGGAGTATACCTGCTTGGCTCGAGCTTGCAGGGAAGCAGTGAGGAGAGCCAAAGTGGAAACGGAGCTTAGACTGGCATCAAAAATTAAAGATAACAAAAAGGCATTCTTTAAATACATAGGAAGCAAAAAAGAAAGCACAGGGCAACATAGGGCCCCTTCAAGATGAACTAGGGCAACTGGTAACAGATGGGATAGCCAAAGTACAGCTCCTACATGATTTCTTTGCATCTGTGTTCCTGGGCAAGGATACAAGCATGCATCCCAATGGGACTTTAGGTAAACGCAAGATAGATACCAACCCACAAACAGTTAGCACCGACCTAGTAAAGGGGCCCTTGGAGGGGTTGGATGTATTTAAGTCAAGAGGCCCTGATGATCTTCATCGTAGGGAACTTAAGGAATTAGCTTGCGTTATATCAGATCCACTGGCGCAACTGTTTGCACACTCGCGGTGGTCAGGACAGGTTCCGGAGGAACCCTGGAAAAGGGCCAATGTGGTCCCTATTTTCAAGAAGAGGAGGAAGGAGGAACCAGGTAACTATAGGCTGGTTAGCCTCACCTCTATCCTTGGCAAGACCTTTGAGAAAATTTTTAAGGATCACATTTGTGGGGGACCAGCAGGTAAAACAACGCTAAGGGACAACCAGTGTGGGTTCATAGAAGGCAGATCCTGCCTGACTAACCTGGTTTCTTTTTATGACTGGGTCACAAAATGTTTGGATGAATAGAGGTAGAAGTTATTTACTTAGATTTCTTACCCAATTCTTATAAATAAACTAAACAGTTGCAATATAGATTATTACCCAGTCCAGTGGGTGGAAAATTGGCTTATGGGATGCACCCAGGGACTGGTGGTGGATGGGCCAGTTTCTACCTGGAGAAATGTGGGAAGCAGAGTCCCACAAGGCTCTGTCCTGGGACTGGTACTGTTCAAGATCTTCATTAGTGATTTGGATGAGGGGGTAGAAAGCACTCTGTCCAAGTTTGCAGATGACACCAAACTATGTGGGCAGGGAGTGAATCCAGGTGGATCCAGACAGGATGAGGAAGTGGGTGGAACAGAACAGGATGCAGTTTAACAAAGATAAGTGCCAGGTGTTGCACCTAGGGAGGAAGAATCATCCACACTCCTATAGCCCGGGAGGCACCATTTTAAGTAGCACAACTGCGGAAAGGGATCTCAGAGTCCTAGTCGACTCCAAGATGAACATGAGTCACCAATTCGATGAAGTAATAAGTAAAGCTAAGCGCATTCTTTCTTGCAGAAGTAGGTGCATCACAAACAGGTCTAGGGAGGTGTTACTTCACCTCTATGCGGCATTGATCAGGCCGCAGCTGGAGTACTGTGTCCAGTTTTGGGCACCGCACTTCAAGAGGGATGTAGATAACCTGGAAAGGGTTCAGAGGAGGGCCACTCATCTAGTTAAAGGCCTACAGGAAAAACCCTACGAGGACCGATTGAGGGACGTGAACCTCTTCAACCTCCGCAAGAGAAGGCTGAGAGGTGATCTTGTGGCTGTCTACAAACTCATCGGGGGTGGGGGTGTGGGGGGGGGGAGAAACAGCAGGAAATATGGGATACAATGTTTACCAGGGCACCCATCAGGGTAACTAGAAAAAATGGCCATAAACTGAAGAAGAGCAAATTTAGATTGGACATCATGAAAAAAATTCTCACTGTGAGGGTTGCTAAAATACAGAATACGCTTCCAAGGGAGGTGGTGCTGTACCCTTCCTTGGAGGTATTCAAGAGGAGATTGGACAAACACCTGGCTGGGGTCATCTGAACCCAGCACTTTTTCCTGCCCAGGGCAGGGGGTTGGACTCAATGGTCTAATAGGTCCCTTCCCACCCTAAAATCTATGAAATCTATGAAATATGAAATAGATGCTCAGCCCTCTTCAGGACCAGGTCTTCATTCTGCATAGCTGCCTTCACTTGGCCTGAATAGCTCCAATTTTATTTTTGGGTAATAAATAATCAGAATGGCTAGGGACAGAAATTACACATAAACCAGTATAAGTGATCAGAAACCAGTTCAAATCTGTAACACACAGAAGTTCAGTGCATGTAAACTGCTTTCCAAATGGCCAAAACCAGTTTAAGATAAACTTGGATGGATGTAGTATCAGACTTAACTGATTTAGGTTACATTGGTTTATTGAATTCTGTCCCAGATCCCCTCCAGATTCAAGTTAACTCACAATGCTCCAGCACCCCAGGATGACTTGAACCTCCCCTGCAAACCTCCCTTCACAGAATGGGTGGGCTAGCCTTGGCTCAAACTGTCTGCTTGAGCCCCAGCTTCTGGCCTGGGCCACTGCAGGCTGCATTTGCAGAATCAAAAGTGAATGTCTGTTCACTTGCTTATTGATTCAATCTATGCAGCTTGGACTAACTTGAGAAGAATGAATTGCTTCAGCCTTAGGTTTTTTGACTGCCTGTACCTAGCCTAAGAGGAGAATGTGATGTGCGTTGCCTTGTGTGTTCTGTAAGCAGTTTACCAGTATTTTGCCTTAAGTGACCTGCCCAATAATGGAGCTAGGCCAGAATGATCCAGTGCACAGAAGGAGATAGCTTATATGACCACATACATGTCCATGTAGGTGTAGATGGAGGAAGATAGGGATTGCAATAGCAGGTGAAGGAAATGAAAAGGGTTCCAAGAACTTTAAATCCAGCTGAGCTCTGCTTGGTGCAGAAATATATTGTTAAGAGAGGGAGGAACCAAAACTTTTTGGATCTTTTTAGGGCTTCCTGGATTCTTAGGGCTTCCTGGACTGGTTTCAGTCCTGATACAGATAGCCTGTGCAACATCTGAAAATTAAAGCAGGTTGTAAATACAATGTACACTGCTTGAGTTGTGTGCCTCTGTGTTTGTTAAAATCAGGCTCTGAAAATTTAGTGATTGCTCTTAAAGTCAGAAGTTGCAAGTGGTAATGGGAACCATACTGACACAGATAAATGTTCAGATCGCATCATCATATGGCAATTAATAGTGAATGTATCTAAATGGCAGACAAGGAGAAAGTTGAAATATCACGGGAGAGGATGTTCAGGGTGATCCCCCACTAGTTTTTGCAAACTGAAGGGTTTGATTCAGACTGCTAGTGCTTCCCCAAAGCAGAGTGATCCTTGTGCAACCTCTTGAAATTCAGTCACCCACGGTACAGTAGAGTCAGTAGTTCCTTTTGAGTCAACAGGTTCTCCCAGTTTTATATCTCTTTTGGTAAGACAGGAGTATTTAATTAATAAAAGCAACTTTGCAAATCTGTTTCAGTACAGATGTTTTGAAAATTGGGAAAGTCTCTGGCTTATTAGGAAATTGCATGGAAAGGGATCCTAAGACACAGTCAAGTATTAACCAGGAACCTGGGTATAAAACTAAAAGAGGGTGAAAAATGCAGCCAGGACTGCATGAACTAAGGATACACTGCGTAAGCCACTGAAATACATAAATACATACATATTTTTGCACATGAACTTCAGAGGGGCTATTAATGTGCCTATTTATTCATGGATTTAAATACCTTTTGAATCAGGGCCATATTCTGTGTATGGGGTTTGACTTATAGCTGAAGAAAAGGGAGATCTTTATGGGACTGGATTTTGGAAACTATGAGGTTCCTGAGCCATCACAGCTGTGTTCCACATATTTGCCAGATGCCTGGCAGTAGTGCTGCCATCATCTCTTCCCAGTTTACCTATGTCCCTCTCATGTCCCCACCATCTCATCCCTCAGTGGCACATTTGCTGGAGTTATAATAAATAGTGCCTTGCTGCTCAGCTTCTCTGCAAAGGAGCCAAACAAATCTGGGTTTCTGCTCTGAGAATTGCTAAGTGCTCCATAAATACATTGCTGGATGGGTTGGAAAGGGGCTTGAGTTCATACAAAAGTTCACCAGGAGGTAACCTTATAGTTAGCTCTTGTTACAATCATTATCCCTCAGCTTTTCAAATTGCTGCTTTCTCCAGACTCCTGGGTATAATAATACTTCAAGGCACTGCTGCTGGGATTGGCCATCTACTTCCCCTTCATAGCTGAGACTTGTAAGGACCACAGATGTTCCTGATGCTTCTTTTGCTTAAACTAGTGTAAATAATGCTTCAGTCCCCAGAAGCCAATGGATAATACTCGTATGAAAATAGTGTAAAAGAAAAGAAGACTCTGAGATTCAGACTCTCTTCAGACTTAACTATTCAAATTCTATTATTACCTGTGGTATTACATCAGCATGATAACCCAGCTAAGTTACTTCTGATTAATAGTCCAGTAAGTACTGCAGAAGAATAATATTTCAACCACTTATTTAAGTACAAGGGCAATTCTAGCTGTTACCAACTTGTACCAGTATGACAGATCATTTTGTGGAGAAACCACTTAAAAAAAAAAAAGACAGGCTTTGTAACCCCTCTGTATAAACCAGACCTAGGTTTCAACTGTTGATTCTAATCAGCTGAAGATCTAGCCAAAGTTAAACAGCAAATGACTTTCTTTCCTGGATTGCAACATTGGAACAGATTCCATCAGGTGCATCCATTTAGATGAGGGGATTTTATGGAGCACAACATCCATGATATTACCCAAAGAGGACACACAATTTTTAACAGTAAAATTACCTGTTAGGTGTGCTCTTGGCTTTTCATCAGTGAATACTGTATCTGTAATAAAAATAATACAAGATAATGATTTTTCTCCCAAGTTTAATGGATTTGATTAAAGACAGAGCTTTTTTATTTCCGCGTGGGTTTGTTTTTACAAGTTATTTGCCTAGCCTTTTTGTTGACAGAAGGTAGGAGTTGAGTTTCAGACAGAGCTGATAAAAACGGAGCTCTTCTGGACTTCATCTGTGCTGCAGTGCATACTTGAAGATTTTTGCAGATGGACCAGATCAAATCACCAATTCTGACTAGAACACATTGAAAAGAAAAGGCCTTTCTCTTGGATTAGAATATCAATGTGTAAAAGGTACTTTAACTCTGTGCTGTCTCCATATTAACGTAGTTGGATCTGTCTTATCAAGTTACAGGGTGGGCTTAACCCTATGCCGGCTAAAAAAGGAGACAGGCTGCCTATCCACTTGTGGCAGGGCACTGTTGGTGCCTGCCACTTTAAGAGTGGAGCCAAGCAGCCAGCAGGTGCTTGATTGTGGTGGCCATTTTAGATCTCTGGCCACCTATATAAACAGAGCAGTTTGCTGCTGGTAGGCTAGGCAGTAACATTACTTGTTGTAAGGCTCCATACAAAATCCTGGAGGTAAGGGTAGGAGCTGTAAGGGATGGTTTAGAGGCTCCTGGTCTTGGGCATGACCAAAAACTGCACCCTGCTGGGAGTGGGTGGCCTGGTGGGGCTCTTAGTGGTGTGGGAGCCCCCAGGAAATGCCAGGCCAGTTACCACCCTGGTGAAAGGCAGGTAGGCCCACCTTAACCCTAGCCCTCACCCCCATAAGACCCTGGAGCACCAGTTGTGGTGTGGGTTAAGAATGAGTGGAGGCCAGACACAGCTGTGGACACCTGAGCCCCACAAGGGAGGGAAGCCTTGGAGCCCCAGTGAGGGGGCAGAAATGAGAAGCCCCAGTGAGGGGGAGGAAAACCAGAGGGCTGGGAGCTCGGTATGTCTGAGTGTATAGAGTTACCCCAGAAGGGGACAGGGCAAGCTTAGACCCGGTCAGGTAATTGGCTGGCCACTACCCCGGTGAGGATTGTGGGAGAGGCCCAAAAGATGGTATGTCTGCCACCCAAGGTATGAGCTAACTAAACCCTATGGCCTAAGGGGCCCGCTCCAAGAGGGAGCAAGGCAGTACAAGTTGTCGATGCGTGAAAGAGACCCTGTGAGAGAGGGTGGAGTGCGAGAGGCTCTAGTGATAGGAGGGTGGTATGAATGTGAGTGCCTGAGGCCTGACAATGAGGCATAAGCTTGGTCTGCCTGCAGGTCAGGAGCATTATCATCTGAATGCCATCTGTGAGGCTTGGGCTGCAGAGCTGTAGATGGTGCCCCCTGGCACCGGGGCAAGAATGGGCAGCCTCCTGCCTTAATCAACAACTTACTTAACAACAAGGTGTGGCAGACGAGTCAGGTGGGTGGTGTGCCCAAAGGCAAATGGGTAAACTAGCACTGTGGCTAGTTGAGGAGTCCCACTTTGCCACACCACTATTTAGGAATTGCAGGCTTGCTCCAGCTTTTTTTCTTCTGTATCCTCTATCCACCTGCTGCTGCCACCATCTAGCCTTGGCTCTGCTGGTGCCTGATGCCTATCACACCTTCACCTACTCCTTCCCTTTCTCACCTTGCATCCCAACAAGATAACCCCCTCCTTCTACCACAGCACTTGCCCATAGCCTATCCTGACAGCCCCTGCACTGGGACTAAAGCAGCCTTGATCAAGAAATAACATAGGCCGGGTATATGCACCCCCTGTGTGAAAAGTGCTGCCAGAAGAAGTGTAAGTGAATCCTTCAGAGGTTTTAGTGGCTCTAAGTACTGGAAGAAAAGGGAAGGGAATCTAATCTATAAAACTAGGAAAGAGCATTTTGGTAGAACTTGTGGAAGCAGCTCCCATTCTCAGCAGACACCGAAGTAAACATGAGCTTCTACAAAAGGAAAGAACTGGCAAACTTACAAGTAGTTGCTGCCTGTTGCTTTAAGGCATTCGGCGCTCTTTCTTCTGCCACCTGTGAAAAACATTCACAAGCAGTTAGCTTCCACTTGAATGAGGCAACAAAATTATGGAGAATCATGATGCTCCTATAGATAACTTAATTAGGAAGTGCTTCAAGAGAGAATACCTGACAATCAGCTTATGTTTAAATAGACCCTTTCACAGATAAGAATCAGCCCCTAAGTAATGCAGGCTGTTCATTTAAGAGCCCTTTTCTCTCTATTCTTGCTAGTTTGCAGGTGCCTGTAATCATGCAGTACAGAGGAGAGAACTGTGGGGAAGGTCTGGGCCTAATCCTTGGCTCTTCCCAGAGATAATGCTGTTTTACACCGGCTGAAAAATCTGCCCCTAATTCATCCTTTCCTTCTGTACTTTCCTACTTTTTATTGCTGGAATCTGTACTTGAATCACTTAGTACTCTAATGCACTTGGGACCAAGTTTGTAGGAAAAGCAGATAAAGGTTGTTCATTCTCTCCCTCTCTCTCTCTCTCTCTCTCTCCATTTTTTCCCCCCCACACACACTTGATAAATCCTCATCTAAAGCTGAATGCCAGACTACTTGTGACATGCATTCAGTGTAAACAAAGATGAAACATATTGCAGCATTATATTGACCTGGTCAGTGCCAAATATGCATGTTGTTTATGTAAAGTAACAGTGGAGGAAGTTGCTGCTTGCCAAGTAGATGGCTGCCAATGGCTCTGTTTAACTGATTCAAACTAGTTCAGCCAAAATGCATGACTTATTTTTGGTCACATTCCTAGCTGGTGTAAGTCAGCATGGCTTCTTAGCCAGTGCAATGCTGCTGATTTACATGGATCTGGCACAAAACATGTATGAAGGAGCTACATGCCTCTAAAGTTTATTAGTATAATTAGTGACTGTCAGTGTTTTAGTGATGGCAAATGGCTTGCCTGTACAGCAACAAATGGGCGATCAGGACAAGTCAACATATGGCTGGATCATCAACTGGTGTGAATCACCGTGGTATGCTCCTTCCTATGTTGTGGTCCATATAAAAGTTTGAGAACTCCCCATAGTATTGTATCTGCCTGGAGCATGCTTACAGTGTATGCCAAAGCACTTCTTGTGGACCAGATCTTTAGCAAGTGAAACATTTCACTGTAAACTGCTTTCAGTTGACTTCTGCCACCTAACCACAGTTGAATATTTGCTACTTAAATATGATCACAGTGTTCCTATTAGTGACTGTTAACATGTAAGTGGAATATTGGCCCTTGAGTATTTCATATTCAGTGCCTGCTGTTTATGGGGGGAAGAGGACTCTATACATCTGGAAGGCCAAAAGGAGAATTGTGGAGCAAATCTAACTATCAGATGAAACTCATGCCCAGTTTCATGGTGGTGCGTGACTCACAGTACATTACTCAAAGTTATGCCACTTATGAAACTGTTTCCCAACATTTAAATGAATTAAACAATCAACGAAGGAAAAGATGTTGTCTGTAAATGCCATCCTCTTCCTTATGTGCATACACTTACACGTCACTGTCACGACCTCTAGCAGAACAGTGTGATCTAAGATGCAACTAAAGACAAGGTAGTACACAATCTGTAAGACAGGGCAGAGTTATTTCATACACAGGGCCGCAGGCCTGATGTCTGACCTCTGCTTGTTACTGAATAGAATAATGCAGGACTGATAGGGACTTCAAGAGATGATTCATTCAGTTTCCTTACTGATGAGACATCACTGGAACAGTCCCAACAAATATTTCTCTAACCTGTTCCTAACAGACGGCACGGAAGGAGGTTCTGCAACATTCCTATGCAGCATGTTTCCATGTTTCGACACCCTAGGAGTCGACCAAATTAACTCTTTTTATTTGCAAGTTGATCCAGTTTTCTTGTCCTTCCTCCAGTGGCCATGAAAATCAATTCATCTGGTTATAATTACTTAGAAAACTGTTATCTTCTCCCTTATGTCTTCTCTTTTCTAGACTAAACAAAACCAGTGCTTTAGTCTTTCCTCTGAGGTTGTGTCTTGTACATTTTTATCATGTGCAAACTTTGTATGTGCAAGTTTTTTTCCCAAATTCTCATGAGATTTGTTGGGATGTTTGAATATGACTCTCTATTCTTATGATGCAATGCCCAAGAGTCATGGTCAGCTGAACATGTCATTTTTACTAAAGGGGAAGCACAAGATCATAGTGGAGGAGTTCTCAATTCACACTTCTCCCCCAAACCATACTGTATTTGTATATTTTATAGTGTTACTAGGTTAGTACCTAATTCAGCAAAGTATTTCAGCCTAACTTTCTATGAAAATATTCATTTAGTCAAACTTGATTTTTTTCCAACAAAAAATAATTTTGATGCCAAGTTTTTATACAGCCCTAAATTTTATCTTGTAATCAGAGTGATCTTGAATGGACTCTGTCCAGTACCTCCAAGCTTTAAAAAGAAGATCTGGACCTTAACTTGGTAAACTGACACAGTTTTAAATATAGAAGGAAAAGAAGTGTGGACTACAGGGTAGACCATTAGATGAACTGGGTCCTATTTCCAGTGCTGTCACTGATCTGTCAAGTGGTGACCTTAGGCAGTGTCTTGTCTGTGCCTCAGTTTCACTGTCTATAAACTGGGATAATAACAAGGGCCTCCTTTGTGAGGAGGTTTGAGATCTATGGATGAAAATTGCTATGTGAGACTTATGTGTAATAATGGAAAGCTAGGTGAATATGTGAGAGGTAATAGTAATACTAAATGCATGTGTTGTATATTCCTCAAAGTAAAGATCTTTTGACCTGAAAGAAGCTGTTGAAAATGTAAGTTGCATTATTATACAGTATGGAGTTTTCATTTATACACCTCACGATGTACCTATAAACGTTGAGTATGTTTAAAAGGACTAATTTGTGTGTAATTATTGGCTACTTGTTCTATTCCCCTTCCTTGATCAGGTGCAATTTAAAAAAATTCTCAGCTTTGACCTAGGTTTGGTTCCACTGAAGTCAGTAGAAAAACTCCCGCTGGTTACAATGGGAAGAGAGAAGCAGATATTGAGTGCTTTTGAAAATCCCACCATAGACCTGATTTGTAGACGACAGTCTCCTGAAACAGAGACTTTAAATACTGTGAAGCCTGCGGTATGCAAAAAGCTGCTACTGTCTCTTAATTCCAAGACTGGCCGAAAGTCCCTAGGACACTTATTTACATTTAACATTAAAAGGAAATAGGCAAAGATCCCCCACCTACACACTTTTCCTTAGTGTGCCTTTTGAAAGGGGGTGTGGGTGTCCATCTGACAAGTCAAATGTAGAAAAGTTAATTGAAACTCTGGGGTCATAAGTGTCATAAACAAAGCTGTTCAGATGATATCCATTTATCACGCTCGATAAGTGAGATAGCCCGCAGCACATGCGCTTAAACCTTTGGTTTAACTTTTCGTTTAACTTTCAGCGCACTGTCTTGCCTTCATTTGGCCTTTCTCTCAAGGGTCCTCTCTAACTTCTTGGAAAGTTAATGGAAAGACTCACCCTAATTTTCATGAAAGCTGGTTCAAGATGAAAACCAATCCATGCTACTTGCAAAAAGCATGTGCAGTAGAGCAGTGCTGTAAAAGAGTTAGGGCTTGGGAGGAGATTATCATGGACTTGGAGGATGATGAAGGGCTTCAACTCAAGTCTCCTACAACCATTCTTCTATCCTGTGGACTGTGCCACTTGCATAACAGTTTGTGGCTCTGCACAAATGGGGTTGGTTAGTCTTCATTCTGGCCAACGCAGGCCTGGAATGGACTCATTTTACAGTGGATAGGACTTAAAAAGCCCAACTACATGCTGTAGCCTGCTCTAGTAACACCAAAATGAGTGGTGGGAAAATGCATCCCTTTATGCAACCTTTGTGTTTGGTTCAGTTTCCCTCTATAGACTTATCATTATCTTGCAGCTACAGAATGCCTCTGACTCGACCCAGCCAAAATCCCACAGACATCAGTGGGAATTAAATGCAAACACCATCAATTAATACTTAGCACTTTGTTTTTAAGTGGTTAACTAAGGAAATTGATAGTCAGTAGCAGATACGTTCTTGGCTGTTGTGTCAGTCTAGCAGCTACATGACTGCACTCAAACTGTAAAAAGTTAAAAAATGGAATTGAGATGCAGAAATAAAAATATTGGACTTCCAATATTTCTAGTCTTCCTTAAGGCTCCCTAGTTACAGTTGTTGCAAATCATTGTTTAAAACTCCAAGAAGTGGGTCAATTACTGGGACAATCCCATTTTTCCTCATCTGTTCCCTGTATTTCTAGGGAACACCCTGGAACTTGATTTCAGCAACTTATTCCTGAAGCAGATGCAACAGGAGGGGAAAACTCAATGTTGTATACATGGCCTCAATATCCCCTTCCCTGTCGGACTGGGGAATTTCTAAAGGGAAGAGAATGTGGGAATCTGTATCTGTTCAGGGCTATTAAGATATCCATGTACAGGGAGTGGCACGTACACTTCACCATCCCAGCAATAAATGTCAAGAGAGACATTTCTGTAGCACAAAGCCTGTACTGCTTCCTCCTTTCTGTAGAAAAATAGGCATTAGGGATTTACTAATAATCTATGGCAGCAATAAATGATGACATTCCCCTCCCTATCCTCTGTTTCATGCCAGAATGCTAAGGCAGAAAGAAGGTCCCTTTCATTAACCTTTCCACTTGTCCCTTTCTGTTCCAGGGCTCATCAGCTAGGCATACTGTTACTCCTGTCTGTCCACCTGCTCTCATGCTTCCTGTGTAGCCCAGTCTCAGTAGAGGTACCATTTTTCTCCTTTTCTCTCCTGAGATTTCCAGTTATAATAGAGCAGGGGTAGGCAACCCTTAGTATGGGTGCTAGAGCACCACATATTACGGCATTTTGCTTGGCAAACATGCCTGAAGGTAGACAGCAGGGAAGGGGCTGGGGCTGCGCTGCTATAACAAGGATCAGGCCCCTTGTGACTCCCTGCCATCTGCCCCTGGTGCGCCAACATCTTACAAGTTGAGGTTGTGGGTGTTTTGGCACTCTGCCCAAAAATGTTGCTGATCCCTGTGACAGAGGGTTTTGGGAGTTAAAAAATCTGCCTTTAAGTCTGATTTTTATTTTTAAAATTTAAAGGGGAATAAATGCCTTTTTTAATCATTCAGAAAAGGTGATTTAACACCGTTATTTGTGAGAATATTCTTCTGGAAATGAATGGGGTTTCTCTTAAGAGTAAGGACTACAGGGTCAGGTCCATACTCTGAATTTGGGATATTGTTCCTTGGAGGCGTTAGAAGAAAGTAATGATGAAAAAAGTCAAATACACTTATAACTGCTGCCTCTCACTGGTGACAGTCTCAGTTATCAATGGAGCAAGCAGAAGATTAACAGAACATAGTAAGTAGCTGAGGAGTATAATGTTCCACCTACTCTGCTTGGCATAAATTCAAATGGCAAACAGCCAGCTGTGTTGGTTTTATTTTTGCCCACTAGGATTTGCAAATGCAGCTTATTTGATAGCATCATTAAGTCATCAGTGCATTATCATGTCACTGTAGTAATTACTGTACATATATTTATAGAACTATAACACATGACAATATCATTCAGAGTATAGCAATTCTTAATGTTTATGTAGCACTTGCCCTCTGAAGAACTCAAAGCCATTCAGAAATACAACTTTGCTGTCCTTTGCATTGCAACTATAAGCCAGGCAAGTAAAAATCCTCCTTGATGGATTATTATTTTATTATTTCTATTGTAATAGCACTAACAACTGGTGTCCGAATGTTGATGCCGTTGTGTTCAGTGGAATACAAAACACACGCAGTATGTCTAAGCACAAAATAAAAGCAGTTGCCTGGACAGTAGCTGTGCCAGGTCTAGCTGATATGAGTAGCCATATCAGTGAAGACGTAACAGGACATGGACTTTGATCATTAGCACACACTAAATAGTACATATCTAGGTTCCCTGGAGGTAACATGTCGTAGCCATAGCTACATTCTGTTGTGCAAACTAAGCCAGTCCCTATTTGAAGGAGCTTGAAACATAAGATACCAAAGCTGTGACCCTGTACTATACACTGTACAGGTGTAGGAATTCACTTATGCAAAATTCAGTGCAGGTTGGGCCCCAAGATACCACTAAATACGTGTGTCAAAAATCTGTTGGCAGAAGCCTGCCAGAAAGGATGTTTGGTTTGGAGTCAGCCTATTATTAGCTCTTTTCAAATGCTTGTGAATGGCAACAATGTTTTATTGTTCACAAATAAAGTCTGGGCTACACAAATAATCAATAATGACTTTGAGATGAATTGCTCAAATGGATTAAGGCCTTGATTCTGCAAATGCATTGGCATAGGCTTACCTGCTAGGAGCTGGGCAGTCCCATTGATTTCAGTGACTCAGTGGGAATATGCACTTGCTTAAAGTAGCACAGTGTCATAACAAAAACTTACAAGTGTGTAGCTGTGGAGGTCAATGGCCAGCTAAGTATTAAAAAGGAACATGTGGTTATACCCTCAGTGCAGTCCCTCTGAACTTTGGGAAAATGTTTATTAGGAATCAGATGAGGATTTCATTTCTAGGGTCAGCCTCAGTAATTGGCCCAAATCAGATGCCCATATTAAAAATTTTAAATTTGGGAGAACTTTAAATTTGCTTCCAAATGTGGACATGACCTCCATGCCCTTTACCTGTCTGGCATTTATACACATACAACTATTTTACGCAAGCGCTAGACATAAAAGAGATGTCTGTGCATAATAGTTAGCAGATGTCTACCTCATGTCTCCTCTCACCCTCTGGTGAGACATATGGTAAATCTCAGTGTAAACCCAAGAAAGGGGATAAAGAGGCGTACTGCCCAATCTCTAATTGAATTAATAGATTCATAGATGTTAAATTCAGTGCAATAACACTTGATTTTTATCAGTCAAGGGGGTTGACCCATTGAAGAGGGGGAAAATCAAAGTACAGGAGGGAAAAGTTTGTCAGAAAAAGAAGGGACCCCCCCCCCCATCTCCTTTTACCTCATCTGTTGTATAAAAGGAAAAAAAAAGAAACAGAAAGGATAATAGGACATTTCTAACATTTTCCTAAATCACCCACCCATGAAAACACACACAGTCTTTTTCCAAATCAAAAACATTAAGAAAAGAAGAGAGATTCATTAAAGTTTGCTTAAATCATAGGTAAATGACATTTTCTTACCTGATCCAGGCCAGGTTTGTGGGCTCTGAAACTTCCAACCAGCAGATAGGCTGTGGGTAATGTTAGAACAAGCACAGACAGCATGCAAAAAATCACAGTCCAACGCATTTTCCTGAAATCCTCCTTGATATGCATCCAGGCATCTTGATTGGCCCTTGCAGCTGCTTCCTCTAGGGTTAGTTCAGTTAAATGTTCCATGCCTCTTTGTGGGATGTAAATGTCTCTCTCTGTATGAGAGCTGGAAACAGGAAAATCTCTTCTGTCTTCTGACCTGCATGGAGACCCCCATTAAATAAGAGCTCACTTGAGTGTGGGATGGCTCCCTCCCCACACACACACATACACACCCTCCCTCCCAAGGAATGCACCGCCTACAATAGAAACCTAGCTCAGGGAAAGGAGAGAGCACAACTTTTTTCTGAGCTGGTAGAGGTGCATGTTCAATGCTTACATCTGTTTTTTCCTAACTTTACAGAAGGAAGTTAGGAAAGTCCCAGGGGGTGGAACCAGGATAAACTGAGCAGGAGGGCTGGAGCAGATTAAAAGCTTTTCCATACAGCAAAGGGAACGTGAAACTACTGGAAGGGA